TAAACCGATTTTTTCATATTCTGTGAGCCAGAATATTTTCCCTGACCCATATGAACTGATAGACATTCACAAAGTAAGGCATTTCTCAAGTTTATCATCATATAATTGACATTTCACGAGTCAGATGACAGTTCATTGTTACATGACAATATGGCAATGGTATTCTGACCTTATTGCACAGAAAGTTGTCACTAATAACATAATATCTCTGACAACCTCCAGATTTTCTTCATATGCTTCTAAACAAAATTATTTTCACACTGCTATTAAATGTCTCTGAGACATTTTTGCACTCAAATGTCTGTCAATATCAATGCAATTGACCAGCGATGGGTACAATTATTTATAAAGTTATTTATCACTACATTTGTACTAACTATCATTCTACTGAGTTACTAACACAGTATGGGCTATTTTTGCTTATTTTGACCTCCTTTTGGTAATTTATATCATATATGGATTTAAGTGAAGTGATGTTTGCAATATATGTAAATTATTTTCTTTATTCAATTCACAATATTTTACTGTTCTCATTTCATGAACTGACCATATTTTTCACAGTCTTCTGCAAGATACTTTTTCAGCTCTATAACTCTTCCAGAGGTATATCTCTGGCGTTTCGACCCCTGTGGGTTGGAACTAAATATGCAAGATGATTCAGTTTTTGGCTTTTTAACCTGAAAAGAGGTGTAATCAGTGGTCTCCTAAAACTGTCAAAGGAACTAATATTGACAAGTATTGAATATCAAGCCTGCAAATATGATGCACAGATATAAGTATTAAAATATTGCCTATGTCACTATCAAAATTATTAAATGATGTTGAATAAATTATTCCCCAGTGCCAAAAAGCCCTTCTTTGTAGAGGCCGAATATAGGCTGCTTCCCCAACCAAACTAGCCTCTTTTTTCCCCAGTTTAGTTCTCAAAATTCCCTAGTCTTTTGAAATTTCCCATAGAATTTAGAACAAAAATAAATGATGGTGTTGAATTTAGGTATTTTACTGCCTTATTAGTATTTCCCTGTGCTTTTTAATTTTCTATTTTGAAGAACTTGTTAATATTTTGTGTTAAATTTGAGACCCTTTTCCCAAAGTATGCCAAAATCATGCATTATTTCCCCAAGAATAAGGCTGATCAAGGCCCCTTCCCCAAAAATGGTGTTTTGGCCCTATTCCCATCAGGGAATTTAGAAAAGGAATATTACATTCAGGCTCAAGTCATACATCAGTGGAACAAATTGTTATCAATTCTATCTGCAGTGGTTCTTGATTTTGGGAAGTATTATCAATAAAATTGCTAATTTGGAAAGTAAAAAATACTTCTGGTTTCGGCCACTGGTGTATTCAAGAATATAGCTCATAGTAATTATAATATGATTTAAGACTATTTAACCTTCATAAGTACTATTAAACACTTATGCCAGTTGATCAACATGACAAAAATTGAAAATGGCAGTGTTGTCCTGATTAGACAAAAAAATAATACCACACAAATCTCAAGCTGTTTGTCTGTTGCCCTGTTATATTATCCATGGGTGGCCATGATTCCTTACCCTAAGCATTTCACAATCTGGTGCTAGTTTTATACACTTTATTTTCTAATGATCCAAGCATTCTATGTTGAAGAAATTTGGCAGATATATACATCATCTATCTAGCAACATCATACCTCGGCGCAATCACACTTGATTATAACCATATAACGCAACATCATATTTACTTTGATGTTTAAAAAATATCTGACTGTCTCCATTTTGCATATCAGGTTGCCAACTGTAAGTCCAGACGTCAAAGTAAACAACATGTCTCAAATACTCAATACACATCACAACCTAATCCTTTAATGCTGTTTTTCAGATTATGTCTCAGATTCTAATTCATAGTTGGATTTAGGATCACACCATCCGCCAATAGAGTAGAGGTCATATGGCGACTTTCCATCTTAAATTGTAGAGGAAGACCTCCAGATGTTGCCCCTCTGTGCAGGCCCGTCGTCACGATTTTGTGATTGGTGCGGCCAATTTGGTATGTCTTAGTCAGAATCTAGGGGGGTACGGGGGCATGCTCCCCCGGAAAATTTTGTATTCTAGGATGCTCTCAGGGGCGTTTTTCGCGTATATTTGGCACAGCTTTCAGCCTGTCGCTAGTACATGTTATAGTAAAATGTCAGCGATTTTTTACAGATTAAAGTGGTGAAAATTAAGATTTGCATACATGTAATTGATATTTGGCAAATGAAAAATAAACAATAACTGTTGTTGTTATAATTCTTTAGATGCATTTTATCTGATAATTATTGTAAAACAAATATAATATATTACAAAATATTATAGTACGTGGATTTTTGTTTTAACATAAATCACACAATGGTATAAGCTTAAATAAACAATCGATGCCATGATGGAAGAATATTACATAAAGAGTCAACAATAACCGCTTTTTGTTTAGCAGTAACTTGTATTTTGTTCAAATAATCTTACAAAATACAGAGTCTCATTTTATGTAAAGTTTCCGTCGTTCTCTGGTGGTAATGAACTCATCGGCAATTACACGTAAGTTGAGTGAATCTGTCCTGCACTTTTGAATATGTAACACCATTAGTTTGTTCAAGCGTACTTGAGACATTATAGATCTCAGGTATGTCTTTATTCTTCTGAGCGCCGAGAATGTCCTATCACTGGTAGCATTAGAAGCAGGCATTACTAACAAAATCTTTAACAACACAACGACATCAGAGAACAGTGCTCGTTCTAGCACCGACTGTTTTGACACAAATTTCAAAACGTCAGGTAGAGTAACAGTACTATTTTCTGATTTGTCGAATGTGAACGTAGCAGCTGAAGCTGCATCTCTAAGATGTCTCAGTTAATATCGTTGCCATAGAAATCACAAACAAAACCAAGTTTTCTAGTGCACTCGGTCTTCAAAGGTTGTCCGGCCTTAATAGTTCTATAGTACGCGATATCCCGGTTGGTCAAATCTCTATTTAACACTGGCCATGGCAAGATCGATTTCTTCAAAATACTTAGGCCGGGACCGTCCCTGCACTGTAATTATGTAATTGAGTAAGTTTAATGAGTTGATTATGGATTTATTTCACGAGCGAGCCTCTGTCGAGTATCATATTGTATTCATCGAGTTCAATAAATTCAGTAATGAACTTAATCGAATTTAATATTTTGTTTATTACATACCAAAAATAAGTACCTTTTGAAGTGAAAAAGAACCATTTTTCATTGACGCCCATAGAAAAACGCTAACATTTATTGAGTATAACGCAAATGACGTCAAAATACGTGCACGGCCGTGCAATACCATTTTCACGGAGTCGCAAAAACGGCACGGATATGTGATAAAAACATGACTTTTGGATGGTTACCGTGTACAAAAAATAAAATGTTATCAAGTTCTCGGAGAATTCATGCATACTAGTTTAAGATATTCATAATATATACGGTGAACTGTCCGAAGCCACGTCGATGTCAATTAACTTCACACTTAACTTCAAGTGGCCAGTTAAGTGTCAAATTGCTTATCAGCGATGCGGTTTTTTGTTTGTTTTTTTTTTAACTCATTTTTGGCCAAAATATTGGTCCGGCCAAGGCCGGACCGGCCGGACCATCGACGACGGCCTTGCTGTGTATTATTTCATGCACTAGCATACCAGAGTATAGTGATTAGTCCTATAAATATGTCATCGCTTTGAGATATTTTTACTTCTGGGCAAAGCAACGTTGTGGGGCTTGACCAACATAAACTATAACAAGCCCGTAACATCTGATATATTGAACTAGCCCCGAGTCGAACCAGACCAACAACGTTCCAAATTCATGGGAAGTGGCTAGCCGTACGGGCCCGTACGGCTAGCCAAAAGTTCTAGCCGTACGTGAGTCACGTACGACTAGCCAGGACACACTGTATTGTCTAGCCGTACGGCACTTTTCAAATTTATATAGAAGTCGGAATTATACATATATGTTTTTTCATGACTTTAAGCGAGGATTTTAACCATGAAATAGTAATTGTCTTCGTATATTTACTTTAAATAGAGATTAATCGCCTTGTTGGCTACAGTAAAAGAAGTACGAATATCGATCTTTATCATTTCAAGACATCGAGAAAAAATAGCGTTAGGTCGCAGTTAAATAACATCAATTGAAATAGTTTACAAAATTTTGATAATAATCCTTTTTTGTTTCATAAAGTTTAATTTTCGACACCTTTAAAATGAAAAAAAAAATCAATGTTAGGCTCTGATATTTGCGTCAATTACCGACGGTATAGAAGTTTGTCCATCATTAAGGAAAGTTTGCATGTTCCGTGAAACGCATTTTGAAATTCTATTGTCAGTTCCTGGGTAGGCTTTATTTAAGGCTTATTAATTGTTTGTGCTTTTATGTTCGATTTTTATCTACTGTATTTGAAAATTATACAATTATTTTTGCTTTTCACCGTTTTTTTTCAATGTTCTATGTATTTATTTATTTATTTCACTCCGATCATTATTTATTCGATCCATGTGCTTAATTAACAAAAAAACATCTTTCAGTCAAATAAAACAACAAATCATAATCATGAGGCACAAAATAACATATGCATGGTCGACTTCTATATAATTTTGAATAGTGCCGTACGGCTAGACAATACAGCGAGTCCTGGCTAGTCGTACGTGACTCACGTACGGCTAGAACTTTTGGCTAGCCGTACGGGCCCGTACGGCTAGCCACTTCCAAATTCATGCCTACCAGGGTCAAGGAAAATAATAAACATAATAAAGACAAAAAAGGTGTTGGTAAGTTTATTTAAATATGCAAAAAAGGTATTGGGGAAAATGCCATACTACCTAAAATAATGAGAATTTTCGAATGTGGTGAATGAATGGCCATGCACACTTTTTTTACTGAAATTGGGACGAGATGGGCTCATAAATACGCAGATGATATTTGTAATATATATACCATTTCAATGTCATCTTGAAAGAAATCATTTAAAGCACTTACTTGAAGTAAAACAGAAGAGAGCAGCTGTTATACAGTCAATTTAGAACGAAAGTCAAAATATTTGACATCTTTTTGGATTATTTTTTTCCACAGGAAGTTTGTAAATTAATTACGAATAAGATATTAAAATATCCTCGTCGTCACCCCTGAAAACAGTTATCTCCCTTTGATTAGTACTCCTGCTAACTCATTGAAAACCACTTAAAGCTGTGGTCAAACGCAAAAGAAACTGTGATTGTACATTTACTGATAGATTTAGCAAAATATTTGGATATTCATATTTGGATATCCCTATCCATTATTCAAATTATATGTCGATTAGTTTCATGTTTAGATTATTCACTATGCAAAATGATAGAATTATTTTCTCTTTTTTTTAACAAAAGTGCAGAATGTTTACTCATTGAAGCATGACAAATTGTCTGATGTGTTAAATTGTTTAAAACTTTGCACAATGACAGTATATGAAATAATAAAAAATAATTTGAAATTATATAATATATTAGAATAGTATGCTTTAATTTTGAGTCATCTGCTTTTACAATAAGACTTAAATAGTAAAAACAAACTAGCATAAAGGAGCAGATAACTCAAGAAAACGCATGGTGACACCCATTTTTTTCTGTAAAATTGTTTAAAAAATGATTCTTTAATCATGCAGTTATACTGGTTAAAATTTTCTTCTTTTTTCTGCCTAATTAGCTATAGAAAATGGTGCCAAGGACTGTTGGAAACATTTTTAATGGAATCAGTCTCTGTGGGTTCCAACAAGGAAAGGTGCATTGTTTCATACCATAACAGGGTCAAAGTGAAAAATTACACATATTGTGATAATTCATTGAACTAAAATGCATTTTATGACTGGCATAATGACGTGATGCAGCAATATGTATAGTCCAACTTATTAGACTTGTCAAAGAGACACCGAGATAATTTTGGACGGGCGCTGTCTTTTTCCAACGGTTTGACAGTAAGAAAAAAAAGTCTGTAAAATGGGTCAAACCGTTCACGCCAAATTAATTAGGCTACAATATGTAGATACATGTACAATTATTAGTGTTGACCCCTTTGCCCCTCACCACTGCGGGTTCGAATACCAACAGGGACTTTGGATTCTTTCATGTGAGGAAGCTATCCAGCTACAGTAGCTTACGGAACGTCGGTGGTTCTACTCGGGTGCCCTTTAGTACCTGAAATAATGCACAGAAGGGCACCTGAAGTCTTCTTCCACCAGTTATGCTGGAACATTGCCATATGATCTATACAAACAAAATTTGTGTTGACATCTTCGACTTGTCTTGGCTCTTGAATTCTTGACCTCTACCATATCTGCATATTCTTGGTTGTCGAGTTAGGTGAAATCATGTTACAATTTGTGGAAGCTAGCAAAACGCTCTCCATATTGAATTGAACAAATTAACCCTCAAGTGACACAACCTTGTGTCAATTCCATGAGACATAGTATTGTATCCTGCAGTCAATTCGAGACCCTGGTTGCACGGTCTATTTAAACTTTATTTGAGCATCTGGAAGAACAATCCTGACTTCATAAAATGGCAATTCAGTCGGGTAACAAAAAAAAAATTGTATCAAGTTCAGTATGAAATCAGATTCCATTCTAGTCTAGACAATGATTCAGCTTCATTTTCCTGGTAAAACAATGGTCAGGCATCTTTTCTCATGTGTTTGAAGCAAACATTAGTTATGTAAAATAAATTTTCAATAGCATATGACTATAGATGTTTTTTAATCTATAATTTCAACAGTGATAATGATCATATTTTAAAAAAAAATCTTTGTAAAACATAATTTCAAAATGTTGCAACCCTATTAGGGCCACATCATGGCTGTCATGGTGGTCTCCTGGGATAATTTTGATAAGCATGGCTCATGGTAAATCCATGCCAAATGTGGTGCTTTTTGCACATAAACACTACTAACACACCAAAGTATTACCATGTCATTTTGACTGAATGTCGGCATGAAAAGGCTTATTGTGTCTTTTCCAACCAGAATAATTACCATGTCAGTGAGGCATAAAGTCAGTTAAGTTGAAAAGTTATGTACTCATGGCCTAAGATCAGTGGTTCTACTCAGTGTTCCACGACAGGCTTCTTAAGTCTTCCCCAACCAGTAAAGTTAACAAGTTACCATTTCAGTGTGGCTTAAGTTTAGAGCTTAATTTTGTTATTAGTGATCCTAAAAAAAATTGCCTTAAATTCTCTGCACTTTTTTTAAATTTTTAGTAGGAAGTTAAAAAAGTTATTGTTAACTGTACTATGACAGTTGTAGTTATCCAAGCTTTGGTTCTTGGGTATAAGTCTGAAGGTGTTTTTACTAGGATTAAAGCAGTATCATTTTAAACTGCTTTGATTTGTTAACAAGGGTGAAATATCAGTGAAAAAGTCATGATAATTAGTTCTGTTGTAAAGGTTTTTAATAAATCATGCCTGTCAAAGAATTATTTTGTGAATGCATTGATAAACGCTTAACATACCAAAATCACAAGGAATTGTTAATTTGGGAAATTACTGAATGATTTTCTATGCCACTGGGCATCAGACATATAGTAATTAAACTGTCAGTCAGTATGCACGCACATATGTACTAGGTTAAACTAAACTGACTAGTTGGATATATCTTATACACAATGCAGTACAATATATTGATATTAAATTAAAGTGAAGAAAAAATAACAGGATCTGCAAATATTAATATATAAAATATATAATTATTGAAACAACCATTTGTGGAAGCCATCGGTCAAGAAATTCAAATATTCCATGTGATGACAACACTTCTGTTAACAAGTGAAATAGATGTTAATGAAAACATCTATCTTTGTTTATTTTCACTTCCTGTCTGACCACATAGGGTAAAGAAATATCATAATAAATATGGTCTGCAGTAAACAGACCTGGGGTAATCATTAATTGTAATCATTGATTTTTTAATTGATTACATGATTACAGTGTAATCATCATGTAATTGATTACCTTGCCCAAAATTGATTAATTTAATTGTAATTAATCAATTACAGCTAAAATTCAGTCAGTAATTATGATTACAATTTGATTGACATTGATTACTTTCAAATTTAACAGGAAACTATTTTAATTCAAAGGATGCCTTCACATGTATTTCACATGATACAGTTTAACTTTTGTTTTACATTTATACAGTAAAAGCCCAGTTTAACTTTTGTTTACATTTATACAGTAAAAGCTCAGTTTAACTTTTTTTTACATTTATACAGTAAAAGCCCAGTTTAACTTTTTTTTACATTTATACAGTAAAAGCCCTTAATTAAGACCACCATATTCTTATCATCTCTTACATACTTAATGACCATAAGTCTGTTTTAGTCATTTTGTATGAGAAAAAAAGAATGGTATGTATCTTAAACTACAAATACAATATAAAAGACACTATAAAAGTATGTTTTTATATCTGATGAGAAGAAAACATATACCTGAAGAAATTTAAAATAATTCTCTTCGGTCAGATTTCAATATCAATTGTTATATGATGTACATAAATCTGCAAATCACCTATCAAATAAAACTTAATTCTCCACAAAATAAAATTGATGAAAGCAACATTAAACCACTCTAAAATTTACCTTCTCACTTTATTTCATACAATATACCAATAATAACAGTTTTTCACACCTTGTGAAATTAAGTGTCATGCAAACCATTCAAGCAGATCATAACAACAAATTAAAAATCTAGATAGATGTTGACTTTAACGGGAGACGCTCAAAATCCCCTTGATCATAATCCCCTTGGTTGATAAACGACATAGTGATCGAAATCCCCTCAACAGAAATGACAGGGTTATCATAATCCCCTTGGCAAAAATAAAGGGGTGGTCATAATCCCCTCAGTGGGTAGTCAAAATCCCCTCAAATAATGTGAAATGGTTGGGAAATTTCTTTTCTTATTTTTCTTTTTAGTTCAATGAATTTAAGAACCAACTGCTTCAAGAATTGCTGAAAAAAAAGAGAAAAGCATACAAACAATTAAAAGGTGTATGTTTGTCACAGCCAGTTAATAATGACACCCTTTATTGATGTTATTATTGCTGAGAAAATTGTAAAATACAAACAAATAAATGATAGTTGATTATAATTAATCATTGCAATTATAGTTATATGTAACAAACAATCAATTAATCTTTGCAATGATAAACACCTTTAAAGGCATCCAGATGGTTTATGGATGGCACCCACTCTACAGCGCCCTCTCAGTTCCAACAACTTTTTGTCATCCGTGTACCTTTAGGTGAATCCTGTGTCTCAGTTGTCTACCCACTCCTTCCGTCAAAGCAACAGCTGGTGTATGAAGAAATGCTGACTGCCCTACTAGTTGCCTGTCTGCAGCGAGGTATCCGACCTAACCCAGAGCAAATTATGGCAGACTATGAGATAGCTATACACAATGCTGTGAGAAATGTATTGGCCAGCAACATTCATATCCAGGTAATAAAAAATAAGATCATTTGAAATAATTTATTTCAATGTTAAATGAAATAAAATAAAAAAAAATTAAATGAAACCATTTATTTCATTGCTAAATGAAAAAAAATAAAAAAAAATAAATGAAACCATTTATTTCATTAAATAAAAAAAATAAATGAAACCAAATTTCTGTTAATAATTATACAAGCCTTTAACATGTCTGACGTTGAATCAGGATAAAAGTTGCTGAAAATGAATCATTCAATACAACACATGATCAGGCTTTGTATGTATATATATATCATTCATATTCTTGTTTAATTGTATTATAATATGTAAAAGACTATTTAAACAGCATATTAAAACCTTTTTTTTTACACCATCTAGGGATGTTTTTACCATCTAACCCAAGCTACTTGGAGAAGAGTGCAAGCAGAGGGTCTTCAGTCTGACTACAACAATGATGATGATGTGAAATCCTTCTGCGGAAAGCTTGACGGTCTGGCGTTTCTTCCATGCAAGCGATGTGCAAGAAGGCTTGACGTTACTATGTGAACAGGCCCCAGATCATCTACAGTGTCTGGTTGAGTATTTTGACTCCAACTATGTAAATGGATCCTTTCGCGCAGTCATCACTGCTAATGGAAATATGAGGTTCTGACGCTCCTCTCCAAGATTTCCTCCACCAATTTGGAATGTGCACAGTGCCACAATGACTGACCAGGATAGAACAAATAACCAGTGTGAATCTTGGAACAATGGGTTTAAGCACCTTGTTGGACATTCAAATCCTTCACTTTGGACAGTTGTGCAATGTGTTGAAAAGGATGCAAAAATGGTGGCAGCTGAAATTCTGAGATGTAATCGTGGTGAACTTCTACAGAAACGAGTGAAGAAGGCCACTAAAGCTCACCAGCAGAGACTGAAAGTTTTGTGCTCACAGTACGCAAGTGGCATTAAATCCCTTGAAGACTTCTTGGGTGCTCTGGGACAGATTATCAGAATAAAATAATGTCGGTGCTATGTAAATTCTGTGAATGTGCTAACATATGTAAAATGTGCTGTCAGAAAATAAATAAGAGTGAAATATTATGTCTGGTTTTATATTTTATATTAACATGAAAATGACAACATTGGAGTATTTAAAAATAACCTGTATTATATTGCTAAAGTATACTCCATACTCTTTCCTCTACTCAATGTAACTGCTGTTTGCAACATTTCTTTATGTAACACAATAGTTTAGCTGGAGTGACAAAAGATCAAAGGAAAAAGAATATTGAGTAAAGGGGGTTGTTTTTCACAAGTTGAGGGGATTTTGACCACCCCATCATTTTTGCCAAGGGGATTTTGACTATCCATCAAGGGGATTATGAACACCCGGTCATTTCTGTTGAGGGGATTTCGATCACTATGTCATTTTTCAACCAAGGGGATTATGATCAAGGGGATTTTGATATACATTCGACTTTAACATCAGTGGTCTCAATAGTTGGGTCAAATTAAGAATTCAAGATTCAAGATTTGGGACTTATTCAGGTGGTCTTAAAACTGGATGAGCGGTTGTTCTTAATTCTGGATCATGTAACCATTGACATATAGAACCTTGTAAAAAAGTCTTATTAAGGGTGTGGTCTTAATTCAGGGGTGGTCTAAAGTAGGGATTCTACTTTACATTGAATGTAATCAATTATTAATCAATTACTTTCTTAAAGTAATTGTAATTTAATTGATTACAGAGGCAAGTCTGAGTAATCAAGATTAATCAATTACAATAAAATCTGAAAGTAATTGTAATTAAATCAATTACTAATCAATGTAATCATCCCCAGGTCTGGCAGTAAACTTTCCGTTCCTAAATATTATCTGAAGTAAATTTTCAGTTTCCATATATTATCTGAAGTAAACTTTCCATACCCAAATATTATCTGCAGAAAACTTTCTGTAAACTTTCCATACCCAAATTATATCTGAAGTTAACTTTCAGTTCCCAAATATTATCTGAAGTAAACTTTCAGTTTCCATATATTATCTGAAGTAAACTTTCCATACCCAAATATTATCTGCAGAAAACTTTCTGTAAACTTTCCATACCCAAATATTATCTGAAGTAAACTTTCAGTTGCCAAATATTATCTGAAGTTAACTTTTAGTTCCCAAATATTATCTGAAGTAAACTTTCAGTTGCAAAACATTCACAGATTATTGTCTTATTGTGCGTATGAATATGTTTGCAATGCACCACTGGTAGAACAATATATCAAAAAACATTTGAATTTGTAGCATTAAACATAAAGGTATGTTGATCATATATTGATCTGTCCATGATCTGTTCACAGAAGCTTGTGCAAGTGTTGATGCAGCCTTATGCAGGTCACTTTTAAACATTTTATTTCCATAATGTAAATGTGTGACTTTATAAAAGAGTTTTTGACATGTAAGGTCCATCAAGTTCATATCCAATCTTTCTGTAATAGTTTCTGGTACCAACACCTGAAATGATTATTTTTTTATGATAATTTGTAAATCAATAAATAAAAAAGGAATAACATAAATAACATAAATAAATTGATGTAATTTTCCTACTAATATTTACATTATCCTCCTGATGATATTGTGAAACCAGTACAGGTATAATTAAATTACATAAATAAAACATAAGTTTGTTATTTTAATTTTACTGTTTTAAACAAAGAATATATAGTGATGCTGATTCCTGAGCTATGATCAGATGTTAGAAAAAATTATAACCTTTTTTCAATATCTTATGTATATTTTGAAAATGTATATTGTAAAATCTGATGTTTGAATTAAAATAGGCTTTTCTAGGCTAAGCCTAACTTTAACAATTACTGGTTTAAAAAGAAACGTAGTACATGTACAATGTTTAATTTTTCCCTTATAAAATAGTTCAAGTAAAAATGACTCAAAAAGTCATTTTGTTGAAAAACTTGAAATAAATGACAATAACATAAAAATGTAAACCACAAACCTGAGATGACAGCAATTTTATGAGAGCCATGTTCCTCTAGTGCTATCCTCTCTGCTTCCTCCATCAATAACATACCAAAACCCTGTAATATAACAGCATTAAAATGTTTATATGTCCTAATATAAGTCTCATGTTGTACATTATTTCAGGCTCAGCAGAAACACTCTTTTCCATCAATTTATTTACAAGAATTCCATGCCACTGACAGGAAATTATAGATTAATTGACAATGAAATCTGATGAACATTTGGTTATCAAAATTACATTAAGTTTTTTTAAAGAGTACAGTGAACAAATCTAGAATCTGAGACACGAAAGCGAGTCCTTTCAATGTATCATTTTATGTGTATTTATGAACAAAATAATCATTCACAGCTTAGTGTATATGAAACATTTACAATTTTTCAAGGATTTTCTGCAGTTAATTTCATTACCTGATGTTGAAACTTGGTAGGATCTCGTGCATGTACTGGAACGACACTTCCATAAACGTGCAACTCACGAACCACTGACACACCTCCTTTAAGCTCTGGTCTGAATGTTTCTTCTGAGCACTTTCTAAGACGTAATAATCCAATAAGAATATCTTGCTCTGGGTCTTCATATGATAAAAATGTTTCCCAGCCTCCATTTGCAACATAATCACGTCTTATCAACTCAGCCTGATAACAAAAAAGAAATATTTTTTGTATCACTCTTATTTCTTTTTCTCTGTGATGTAAACTTTTGTAAAAAGTACCATTCAAAATGAAGATAGCGAACCAGATAAACCTTCTCCATCTTGGCAACAACCATGTATTCAATTTATCCTGCTTTTGTCTAGTTTAATCATGTTTTTTTTTTTTAGATTATTTAAATGGTTTAATCTTTACTTTTTCCCTGATTAAACAGCCTTTTCATGTAGTTTTGTTTTGTTGCTAACCATGTGACGTCTTCATAGACTAACCATGTGATGTAATGGCTGGAGATAGACAAGTTTATCTGGCTGATAATATAGACAGTAGCAGGATAAAAACAATCCCTCCTACTGTTTTAAGTGAGTTGTCTATGTGCATTGCACGACTGTAAATAAACATTTTTTGGTCATAACTTTATACAAGGAACAGATTTTGTTATTTATTCAACATATGCTATAAGTATACCTCGTATGGTTTAACTTTATGATGTATTTCTTGGATGCCAACTTCCCTAGTTCTAACATCTCTACACTGAGTTCCTAGATCTTTCATCCTCGCAAGAGCCAGCTCACGAAGATTACCATGTTCAACACCAGAACTCACCAACGGCATCGGTATATCTCTGTAATACATTATATATGTATGATTTAGAAAGATTTTTAAATATTTCAAATATTTTTTTAAAAATATAAACTAGATGTTATTTGAAAAAACTTGAGTACTCAAAATTTTCAACATTACAAATATGTGTAAGACAACAATTTAATAACTACTATAATAAAGTTAATACTACATGGGGCTTTCATATACTTTTTTCATAAGATGTTTTAACCCTTTACCCAATATATACGCGAAACAACGCCCTTTCGCCCCCCCCCCCCCTTTTAGGCCTCAATGAGTGAAAAAATGTCCTATTTGGGCCCCAAACACATGTTTTCGTTTGAGAAATGTTGCTAAAAAAATTGAGCACTTTTTCGGCGCCGCCCCCCATCCAAAAGATACATCAGGGGGTTGCCAGAAGGGGGATGTGCCCCCTTCTGTTAGGGGGGTTTGAAGGGCGGCGGAGTCCCCCTCATTGCCAAGAAAATTTTGGACTTATGAGAGGCTAAAAATGACCCCAGGTCGATCATAATGTAACGTGTAACCAACGCTGAAAAGCGTTTGACTCTATCTCAATCCCTTGAGAAGTTGCAGCACTTTGAAATAAATTTTGATGGAAAAAATCGAGGCAAAATAGTGATTTTGGGCAATTTTGAGATGCCCCCTCGTTGCCATGGTAACAGGAAATTTAAGACTGAGCATGTCGTTACAAAGGCAATGGTCCAGTCAACATTTGTGCCAAGTTTGATTAGTATTGAAGCATTTTTCATAGTTTCATAGCATTTTGAACTTGTAACAGGAGGCTTTTCAGTGAAAACGGCCATTTTCCACAATATGCTCATGGGGGAAAGGGTTAAATTATAAAACTATATGACACTTTAACCAGTACTTTTTTGTAGAATATGCATTTATTGCTAAGAGAAAGACTTTACGATCAAGTAAGATAAGAGTCACACAGGAATCTTTATTTTTATATGGGAAAACACCTCATTCAATACATGTTCTGCCAATTCAAGAATTACCTTGCAATTGTTTTACACAACACGCCCACCTCAAAAATATTTTAAACTTGGCCTGTATATATACTGTACCTTTGCACTCTGTATACCCTTGTCCATGGAGGAACCAAGGCAAGAATTCTTGCTATAAGATCTATTAAAGTTGAAGGGGGATAACTCTTATATCTGCCAGTCTTCCATAATTCATATAAACCTGTAAATATTAGTAGTTTATAAACATATTATTTTATGTATATTACAGAAGGTTTTGGTGAATAGAAATAAGAACTTAAAAAATTTAAAACCTTACATAAAGAACATTGTACATGTATCTGGAAATATAAAATTCAAAACACTCATAACATTGTCACATATTACCAGTAAAAATGGGGCAATGAATACATACCAGTCAATATACAAAACTTTTATTTTATTTAACAATTAACTTTTAAATATTAAAAAGCATATTTATACCTGTTCCTCTTATCACAAGAGTTGGGTAGATTTTTAAACCATCAGGCCGAAATGCAGGATTTTCAAAGAATTCCTGTAATAAAAATTAATGTAAAAATTGTTTCAATTTGAACAAACAAATAATGTTCTACATGTATCTATATTTATGTCATACTTTTTTTATTTGTTTAATTTGAATACATGTTTAAACTTTAGTTGGCTAGAAACTAATAAAGAAATAATAACTTTAAACAGAAAATATTCAAGCTTGAATGTAATAAGAGCCTCTAAGTATGAATGTATGTCAAAAGTCATTTGACTTGCATTAAGTCAATTTAATATTTTTTTTATTAAGATCAATGGACGAAAGATAATGTTTCCACTTCAGCATTTACAGGATCATAAGCAAGGAGAAGGTAGAAAGTCTACAGTCAATACAAAAGTGAACCATTCATTGACTTACAAGTGACAGGAAATTGTCACAAAACCAGGTTTTCCAAAAAAACAAAAGGCCATAATACTATAGAAAAATAACAAAACTACTAAATCCTGACAATATAAGCTAGGGCAAAATTGATCTGTCCAAGTCAGGTTGAATCTCTTGTCAAATGTTACAATTATGCTCAGAGGAGATTGTTTATGCTCCAGCAACAGCATTCACCTTTCTTATTATCGAACATTTTCTTTGAAAAAGAAAAACAGTATTTTAATAATGCAGTTCTCTAGAAAAATTCAAACACATTAGGACAAAGTAAGGATCGTTGTATAACTTACAATAAATTGATCTATATCCCTCTCTAGGCCCATGTTTGGCAGATCTGGCATCATATGTGCGACCACTTTAAATCCTGCATCCTTTGACATATGAAAAGATTCACACACTGCTCGTACTGTGTGACCTCTATTTGTATCTCTAGCCACATCCTCGTACACACTCTGTACACCGATCTCCAATCTTGTACAACCATACTTTAACATATCACTGCAAAAACAATACACCATAATAATATATAAATACAGAAAATTCAAAGGAAAACAAACTAGGATAACCTTTCTGTTTGTTTATTTATATATCAATTTTAACACATTTTTAGTCAGATTTCGGCAGTTCAGCTTTCTTAGAAAACTGACAAATATTTACCAATTTCTCTGAAAGAGACCAACAACTTATCTCTAAGCAGTGGGAGACAAATGTTAGAGATCAATTGTCATGAAGAAATTTCACCTTGCTACTTATCTCCCATGATTTTTTGTATATGCAGTGAGAAATAAATGATTATTTGATCAATGTTAAAAATCAATAGTCATAAAGAATTTTCATCTTGCATCAGCAGACCCCTGTATTAAAAATCCAATGCATTCCCTATTGAGTTTAGCAGCAAGATACAGTAAACCCAAGATTTTGCAGAGTTTTGAATAGAAGGAAATTTATTTATAACATAAAGTTTCTTTTCCATATTAATCTATATATTAATTTTATATCTAAAACAATTTTAAATCTAAAACAATCACTAACCTTGTGTGTTTTTTGAGACAATAATCAGGTCGTGTTTCTATGGTGATGCCTATACATTTTGTCTTGCTTCTTTCAGAGTATCTGTAACAAATTAATGTTAGTATATATTTGTCTTGAAGTGGTATTCAAGCCACTGACAGTGCAAACTGAATATAACATATAAAATTTGCTTTTTTTTGTTGGCTTTAACAGAATTTTAACAGACACTCAGTAAGTTGACAGATACCCAGTGAGTATTCCAAAATCCAGTTCAAGTACTGACCTATTTTCCACAAATAGCTACTAACTTCTCTGCACATATTAATTGAAAGAGTGGTGGAGTACAAATGCCAAGAGACATGTTGTTGTTAACTAACAAAACTAGGAAAATGTCATTTGCCAAGGACTCAAAAGCCCAAGATTTGTAGATATAACAATCGACTTGGGCTATTTATTAAAAATCTCCTATAAATGATATCAATTCTTTCACATGGTATCAATATCTAAAATATCTCTTTTATCAAAACTTAATACAAAGAATTGCCTTATGACTCCAATCTACAAAATTGCATCAAATAACCTTAGTAAAACTGTAAGTTCTTCAAATAAGTAAATTCAAAACTTCAAAAGTTAAAGATAAGAAATGTCAAATCATTGTGAAATTCAATTCATACAGAACCAAAGATCTAGTCTACAGTAATAAAAAGGCACTCAAACAATGTAAAACACCTGAGTTTAATGTATTTATCTCTGAAGACCTCACTCATGAACGGCAACGCATTGTGCAAAAACTATCACAACTCCGCAGAGAAAAAAATATTCACTCGTATTGGACGCTGGATGGCAAGATCTTCTATAAAGAGTGCGAAAAAGGTAAACGTAGACCAGTTAAAGAAATCAATGAAATAGAGAACTTTGTACCAGACCCAGAGAATCATTTTCAGGCAATGGTGGAAAATCCCTGGAAGGATTTGTGAAAATCAATGTGCCCAATTAACGCTGTTACAAGTATGTGATTGAAAGACAACTAACGCTGCATAATTCTTGAACATACTGATCATACAGAAGTTATTTGAAATGAACAGATATATATTAAATACAAGTACTTCTTTTACACAAATTTTCATTTGACTTTTCGATCTGAACTGTTAATGCAACAAGATAAAATCTTATAATATTGTAATTAAGTGCTAATGCGCTCACCTTGTGTGTTCCAAGAAGTCCTATTTATAATCCATATACATGTAACTCTTGATATTTTACTACACATTCGCGATATATATAATGTATATATGCTATAATTACAATCATCACACGTTTCAATAGTTTGAATATGTTTAGTAGTATTTCTCCTTTTCTTAACAAGTATAAAATAATAGCAATGTTATTTTACTCTATAATCCAATAATTTTTCCTTAAAAAATTCATTAAAACACTCTTTCGGGAAACACACCTTGTAAAAATATTGTCAACAAATCAAAATTATTGTTGCACAGTGCTCAGCCAATCAAACAGAAGTTGTAAACGTACACTTTAAAAATTACTATGGAATTTCATTGATAAAATCCCAACTGACACGTGCAAATCGTGAATGTGCATGGTATTCAAATCAGTCTTATTTTGTTATTTTTAGAAATGTGTATTGATTTGGATTGTATACAGTGCTCATATTTTTGTGTATATGCAACGTTTTCATTGTATTATATTGAAATGTAATAATGTTGACTTTAAGATGAAAATTATTATATTTCAATCGTGGCTCCCGCAACTAGGTTAATGTTTTATTTTGAAAACAAAAACAAAACAAACTTGTAAATATTTATGTGTGTGTGTGTGTGTGTGTTTCACTCATGTATGTATATAAGTGCGTATGTGCGTACGTGCGTGCGTGCGTGTGTGTATGTATGTATGTGTGAAAAATTCTTATATTGTTACATTGATAGATATTAGCTAAATTTTCATGTTCTACTTTTCTTTCTCCTTTCTACCTGTTTATTATTGTCATTAATTATTCTGATTAGAATATTCCAGCAGTAAATTTTTGTTATGAAATTTTCCTTTGAATAAGCTGGTGATTATTTTATTATCTATATTTTTATGAAACAAAGAAACTGTTCAATTGAAGAATTAAATTTTTCCATATTTTTCTATACTAAAAATGTTAAGTAATCAACTTTTTCTCTCCCTAATATTTTCCTCTTCTTACAATCAGTAGAACAACAAGAAGCATTATGTTTTCTACAATACTTTTATTTCTGACATTTGTCATTTTTTTCCGTTTATCTCTTTTTCTATCCTATAGAGTTCAGTTTGTTAGGGTTATTAAGACTGTATACTCAGTTAATGTCTGTATTGCTGTCATTTTCACATTATTGTTACCTGCTTAAATATCCAAATGGGTAATTGCCTAAATTCATATCGGGCGGCAATCGGATTATTTAATTGTGTGGCAATAAGTTCAGAACGTAACTCTGTTTCTTATCGTGAGAAATTCGTACTGTTTCATTTTTGTGCAAAATTATTTAGGTTGATATTTCGCTCGTTACAAATATGGCTAATTCTGGTCTGCTCATTCTTTTATAAGAAATTTTATCATTTAAATAACAGTAAAAGAGCCTACTTAAAGACCATCCGCGACACAAAATAGTTCGTTATGCGAAACCAATTTCAGTTCAAATTTTATGTTTTTAAAGATAATGTTATGCGGAGATGTAGAAATAAATCCTGGCCCTGATAGTGAGATACAAATTCAAACCTGTATTTCCATATTTCACCAAAATATACGAAGCATTCGCAACAAAATGAATTTCATTTCTGATAATTGGCTAGACTACGATATTTTATGCTTCACAGAAACTCACTTAAGTAATAATGTCATTGACTCTTCAATTTCTCTAGACGGATATAGTAATTTGTATAGAAAAGACGGTAATTCATATTCTGCCGGAATGCTTATATATGTATCTGATAAATTTATCTCAAAAAGACTAAATGATCTCGAAACTTTTTTTGAAGAGTCTGTTTGGGTTGAAATAAGAAAAACGCAAGAAAGAATTTTGATATGTACTACATATCGACCTCCAAACTATACTAATGATTACTGGGATAAAATGAACTTGTGTATAGAAAAGGCTTTTGAACTTTGCCCAAACATAACAATTCTTGGTGATATAAACGAAGACCAACTAAATTCGAGTAATTATAATCTTCGAAATATCTTATTATTAAATGGTATGCGTAATATTATTACTGATCCAACACGTGTTACTGCTCGAACATCAACCCTATTAGATCCAATAGTAATTTCAAATAATTTAACTGTTTTAACGTCAGGAATTCATTGCACTTCAAAAGAAATAAGTGACCATTTTGGAACGTATGTATTTATTAAATCTTCCCATTTACCCTCTATACCTTATAAGAGACGTATATGGAACTACAAACGAGCGGATTTTGTAAAGTTTAATGAATTAATTAACACAACTGATTGGTCTTTTCTAAATTTAAATACTATTGACGAAGCCTGTGACTTGTTTACAAAAAGGTTCCATAATTTAGCTCAACAATGTATACCTACAAATATCATCACAATAAGGCCTATGGATAAACCATGGTATGATTCAGTAATAAGAAATATGAGTCGTAAACGGGATAGACAGAAATGTAAAGCAATTAGATCAAATAAAGAATCTGACTGGTTAATATACAAACGGTATAGAAATAAAGTGAGCAATATGATTAAACATGCAAAGGAGAAGTTTTATAATAACTTAGAACTTTCTATATCTGATCTTAATTGTAATAATCCCAGGCAATATTGGAAAACCGTAAAAATGTTAATTAAAGAAAAACAAAGGTTGTGAGAGTATTCCCCCACTTTACATAGAAAAATTCGCCTGGCAAAACTTACTTCTTCACCGATCTAGAAAAAGCAAATTGTCTTAACGATTATTTTGTTTCAGTCTCAACTGTAGACGACACCCATTCCCCTACCAGATTTTGTTTCTAAAAGTAATGTCAAATTTTCTAGTTTACAAATAAGCGATCAGGAAATAAGTGATATCTTAATAACGTTAATTACAAATAAAGCAAGTGGACCAGATGAAATTAGTCATAAAATTGCTAAAAAAAGAAACAAGATATTCTGTCTGTGCTCCACTAGGTATTTTATTTAACAGATCTCTAGTCGAAAATATTTACCCTAATTCATGGAAATCAGCAGTTGTAATGCCAATATATAAAAAGGGCAGTAAAAACATGCCTATGAATTATAGACCCATTTCTCTAATAAGTTGTGTAAGGTAAAGTATTTTAGCGAATTGTTTTTAAGCACATTTATAATCATTTACATGTTAATAATCTTATATATCACCAACAGTCTGGGTTTTTACCGGGTCATTCCACCGTTTTTCAACTTATTGATATTTATCATCAAATTACTCAAGCCTTTGACAAAAAACAATCTACATGTATGATATTTTGTGACATTTTCGAAAGCATTCGATAGGGTATGGCACAAAGGGCTTATATTTAAATTGCGGCAATACGGTATTGATGGCGATATATTAAATTGGTTGAGCAACTATCTTTTAAATCGGCACCAAAAAGTTTTTGTAAATTCAACTTTCTTCAAGTGAGAAAATAACTACTGCGGGCGTTCCCCAGGGATCAGTCCTGGGTCCGTTGCTATTTCTAATCTACGTTAATGATATTGCGGATAATCTATTAAGCATAACCCGCCTCTTTGCAGATGATAGTTCGTTTGTCGATTTCCTCTAGCAAATATGAATTTTATAGAAAACACATTAAATACCGATCTACATACTCTTCAAGAATGGTCCCATAAGTGGTTAATTAAAATTTAATCCAGATAAAACAGAAGTTAATGTTTTTTTTTCCTTAAATGATGAACAACGCCCTTCTCTATTCTTTGAAAAATACCCAACTTACTTATGTAAAAAACGCATAAACATCTTGGACTTACAATTGAGTGAAGATGGAAAATGGCACGAAACACATTAATAATATTATGACATCAGCTTCTAAAGTTCTAAGCCTCAATGCAATCATTGAAAATTTAAACTCAAACGAAATACATTAAATCAAATTTATTTATCATATATGCGACCAATCCTCGAATATGCCTCCACTGTTTGGGATGGCTGTAAATGAAAATGATAAACATTCTCTTGAAAAAGATGCAATATGAAAGCAGCGCGTGTTGTCACAGGCCTAACTAGATCGGTATCTATAGACCATTTACTTAGAGAAATTGGCTGGTATCTTTGTCGGATAGAAGAATTATGCAAAAATTAATAATAGTTTACAAAGCCCATCAAAACAATGTTCCAAGCTACTTAACTAAATCTTTTCCCAAATAGTGTCGCTAATTCTACTCCATACTTCCTCCGAAATGATAACAACTATGTGACAATCGCACGGAGAACACAAATATTCGCAAAATCTTTCATTCCTTCATCCATAGAGTTATGGAACAATTTGGATGAATCATATTAGACATGCGGCTTCTCTTAATATTTTTTAAATCTCGTCTCAAAGAAATTTATTAAACCACATACTGCTTCCTAAATATTTTGTATACGGAGATCGAAGTTTAATTCTGTTTACCATGCACGTATTAGAAACGAATGTAGTAATCTTAATGCGGATCTTTGTAAAAAATCATCTACGAGATAACTCACTTTGTAGCTATTGTACATCCAGTATTGAAAGATGCCGAACATTACTTTTTTAAATGTCCCAATATAACGAAATTAAGAGTGCAGTTATTCCGCTCAACTCGCAGTTTCCATCCTTTAAGCGTAAAGACCTTTTGTTTGGAAAAGAATCTCTTTCTGATGAGAAATAACTTATTTATTTTTGATAAGGTACAATTATTTAATTAAATTATCGTGTAGATTTGGAATCTTAATTTTTTATATTATCTGGACTAACTTGCCAACGATCAATTGATATCCCTACTTACTGAACTCTATCCCCCCTTTTTTTTTTTTTTTTTTTTTTCTCTTCCTTTTATGTAATGCTTTTCTTCTTCTTTCTCCTTGTGCATTTTTCCCTAATTGCTCTACTATCATACATTTTGGTTTGTAACTGTCTTATTATTATTAGATAATTCAATATATCAGGGAAGAACCGTTTGCTGATGTTGTAAGAACTTGTGGTTCAACCCTTTTGCTACTTTTGTATTTATACTATGATAATATAATGTTATAAATGTGTAAAAAAGGAGCAATAAAATATGTTTAAATCAAAAGTAAATTCAAAATAAAAGAAGTTCATACTTGACAGCCTCATCCACACTGCTGCTAGTGTGACCTGATAACGCATCATGGAGATTTCTGATAAAATAGTCCCTGTAATCATCAGGTAAACTCATGAATGTCCCACCCATCACAATAAACTCCACCTTATCTACACTGTGTCCAAGCTGCTTTAACTGTTAATGATCAATAGTTAAAACTAGTGTGAAAAAGAATATATCCTCCTATATCATAATTTCTGTTAATTTCTGTATTCATCAAAATGGAACTTATTTATGAAATGACAAGACAATAAAGCAATCAAACTGGAAGGGTGTGATTTCATATTATACAATATATAAGTGAACATTGCAGACTAAAATTCCAATTTTAACTACCCTTTCATGCAATTAGACAGTTTGCAAAACCTCAAACCCAAAATGTAATCACTGAATAAAAACAAAATTGATGTATCCTAATGAATTATATGTATCAAGCAGCAACATTTGTTTCTCATTATTTCAGTCAGTGGAGAGAATATACTTAATAAAGTATTAAAAAAGTATTTTTTTTTTTGGTTGAACTTTACGTCACACCAACAAAGTATAGGTTGTATGGGATACTTTCCAGCTTTACTTGTAGAGGAATACCTCAGATGCACCTCCGTGCATTGTTCCAGGCACATTTAAGTACCTGAGTAGAACCACCGATACTCCTTAAGCTAGCTGGATAGCTTTCACTCTAGAAGGAATCAAAAGTCCCTGACAAGATTTGAACCCACAGCAGTGATGGGCAAGTGATAAGAATTCTTTACTGTAATAATGACTACTATTATGGTTTCTGAGAAGTAAATTGTATAAATTGTATAAATTGTATAGAACTACCTGTTCGACTCTATGTCTTGTTTGGAGATAGGGATTATATCTGGCTCTTATTGCCCTCATTGAGGTTGGCTGAAAAAAAAGAAAGTTTTTTATCCAATACCCTGCTATATATCTTAAATGGAATTGTCCATCTTTTTTTAACTTTGGATTAAACCATTCATCATTTTGAGAGAAAATTCAAAATATACGTACTGAATAGCAATAAATTAAGCCTGTTAACAAGGACCATCCGATCATCTTATATCTCAGGCTTACAACTTAGTTATATACTGATATATAGGATTTATTTTAATGCTAAAAAATGTGCTAGTATATTTTATATGCTGTTATCAAGGCTGAAAATTTGAACATCTGCATTAATTGATCAACACACCAGAAGTTTACATTCCTTTGTAATAATATCAATATATGTATACAGTGATTAATCTAGAAATTCCTTACAATGCATCGGATGACGCACATGTTTGAAAACAATGAGTCCTGTAGCAAAATCAATGAGTCATGTAGCAAAATAAATGCGTCTTAGCAGAATTTTTTTTTTAATAGCAGATCCTTGACATGATTTGCATGTTTTTATAACAAGGGATTAAGTAATTAAATAAGTGTATAAAAAAAGTTATTTTTGGTACTAATATTAATTGCAGGCAAAACAATTTTTATTGGCTGCTCAAAAATCTAATTTGCATAATTTATATTTTCTTACTAATACATGCAACACAGCTCCGACCTTACAGGAAGAGCGCTTTTGTTAGCCCAAAACCAATCCGGTTTAACTTATGTCTAATACTGTGCATTATCCATTTTAATTGTTTGTAATTTGCACAAAATGTCCCTGTCACACTGTATACATACTGACGACTTTTGCCTCTGTGTAGAAAGCATACACAGACAGACCTTTTGATCATGAAAAAAAGTCATGCACAATGTTTCCCTGATTGGTTAATCACCCTGTCAAATATTCTGATGACGTAATAGACATTTTTTTCTTTTTTTTTACACTCCGCGTAAACTTGAGTGACCTTAGGGGAAATCAATTTGCACACCTGTAACTAACAGCATTTCATAAAATAGCAACACTTTTTTTCAGTTACCGATAATTATTTAAAATATTAAGTAGATTAATGATTTTTTGTTTGCTTTATTGGATTAAATTTACGGTAGTGGAAATGCGGTAGTAGAAATGCTTATCTGTGTGGGAAAGGGATAAGGTAAGTAGATAACTTGGAAAATGATATAGGGAAATGGACAAACTCAAGAATATGCGTAATTACAGGGGAATGGGTAACCTTTTGCTGTTGGTACCAGTTTTGTCTAGATGACTAAATAACATGCTGACGATTTTCCTGTGCCATTCTCATTTGTTAGCGCCAATGGCGCAGGCAGATCTCTGCATATTTCATGGACGCTCTGATTGGCTAATGCCGATAATGGGCGGTTACCGATCACAAGCAACAATTGCTTGGGATTTAACGTTTCAAGCAAATGGGGGATTCGTCCTGCACCTGTAATCATCGGAAATTAAATTATTCAACTTAAGAAATTGAAAAATTATTCAACTGATGAAATCAAAGTAATCAAATGGTACATAGAAATCACTTATCATGATATTTTGGATTATAAACTACCTGATTTGCATGCGTCAAATTGAACGCACATATTTTGAAACTGTGCGTCTTTTTCGATTTTTATGCGTATTTTACGCAAGACGCACATCTAGATTAATCACTGTGTATATATCATGGCAGGATATTGGAAGTTTATTTAAGAATATATGTACAAAACTAAATAACTCAACCAATATTGTGGAATGGAATTACATTTAAAACCTTACAAAATATGACGTTTTTAAACAATTCTGTTACCTCATAACCAGTATATGACTGCGTAGAATACTCAAAATCTGAATCTGGACCTCCAGGACAATACACACAGATATTTCCAGTCATTGCAATATGTGGACATCTATGAGGTTTACACATAACAGCAACAACAGCAATCTACAAAATTTAAATACATATTAAATGCGAATATATTGAATATTCTAATTATTAGTGAATGAAATTATAATGCAAAACTAGTACCATGTAAAAATATATCCAATATATAATTCATGTAAGAAGAATTATTGAACGTTATTTACATGTGACTGAATTTATATACATGTAAATATATTTTACCAACAAAATTCATATGTCAGAGTTTCATTCACATTGCTCTGTAACCCTGAGAAATTCAATGATGTATTCATAGTGGGGGTGTATGTCATGTATGTTTGTGTCCCAGTCAGGCTGCACATTTTTCTCACTCTAGGACACATACATTTTAAGTTGTTGTTATATTGGAATTATTAAAAGGAAAATCATGTCTAGTTTTAAATTCCAGATTTCTCTTGAAATGTTAACAAAAGTAAGAGTTTAACAATACATGTTTTGAATATAGATACATACACCACTAGCAGTTCTCACTGGTTTTGCTTTAAGCTTTGGTAGCAACACCTACAATTATAAATAAAAATGTCATAGATAAAAAAAAAATAGATGGAACTACTTATAAAATGAAAATTTAAAATAAGACATCAATTAAACTCTAAAATTTATACCTGAAGTACCTCATTTTCTATCAATTTGAACTTAACAGTCATGTTACTATCCATATATTAAGTAATAAGTGTTATCACAATGAATACAACAATACATGTTTTAGATTATACAACTTAACTTTGAAGTATGGAGCTAACATGACATTCTTAAATAAAGATATATAGCATTATAGATTGACATACCCTTACTAATGTGATTTTTAGACCAAGTATTTTTTTAATTAGGAATCAAACATTAACCTTTATACTTGGATAATTTATGTACATGTACATGTACTACCTTTTTATACTGTTGTGGAACAGCTGCTATGATATCAACCAATCTTGGCTGGCTAGGAAGACCATATTTACTTGCAATCTTTGATTTCACTCTGAAACAAGATATGCATTATTCATCTTTACAAAGTAGTCAAGTAACTGAAAATCATTTAAAAAAGAAAAAAAAACAATACAACGACTTAACCAAAAGTTAAATAAGCTACACAACTATCGCTCCTATTAATGTACACATATTGATAATAAATAATTTCCTAGAGTTACAAATAAAAAATTAAAATAAATACCTGTTTAAATTAACATCCTTGTTTTGTTCATGTGCTTTAATAAGTTCACTGACAATCTCAGACACAGTGATAACCAACAACTCTTCCTTTGAAGCACTCACAATTTCTAAAAAAAAAATGAACAAGTTACAAGCAAGAAATTTTTAACTAAAAAGAAGGAACATTTAATCTTTATGATAGTTGGTGTCCTGTTGAATATATGTAACTGAGAAGAGTACAATCCTCAAGAACCATTACTCTCTTTTGCAAAATTTTCTAATAGGGTAATTGACCTGGAAATAGACCTCATGGCTATTAAGTATAAAACTTTACTGAATGTGTATGCTGAATCGATTACCGCCTTCCCCTTCTGTAACAACAGCTGCATTTGACATCATTGTTTAATACATAGCCTTCGATAAAGTTTTATACTTAGCAATAAGACCGATTCTAAAGCCATGTACATTAGATTTTGAGTGTGTTAGAATTTGAATGAAATAAGGATACAGGCTATGCCAAAGATTTTAGTTATATTAAAAGTATGAAAATTATTATAAACAATATGTTATTGAATAAAGCGAATTATTCCGATATAGACTGGTAAATAGTAACTCTAAGTCATGTGTTTTTTATTTTAACTACTTTTGTCAGTCAAAATTCAGGACAAGTGTATATTGTGAAAGGCGAGTATATTAATAGGGTGCAGGGTGACCCTAAAAAATTCTTCGAGCCTGAAGACCAACTCTCTACTGCATAATGTTGGGTTTTCTATACTTAATTTTTGCATTCTGCATTACTCAAAATTTAGAGTTATTTATAGGATACAGTTCAAGCGTTTGACAAATTTTGTAATTTTTAACATTTCAACATGACTGTGTTGGACATCTGTCTCAGTCATAACCTTGGTTTGATTTAATTTTCATATTAAAATTAAAAATTCCCAATTGCAATCAAGTCTCAATAAAATAAAGATTGCAGACAAAAACTAGAAATTTGTCCTAAGGAGTTAGGACACAGGTGCCCACACATGCCATGGTTCTGTCATTCTTATGACTCTAGGTCAAATGTTTTTTGGACTACATGTGCCACAAGTTGAAACCAAAAATCTTTTACTAAGTAAAGGGCAAGAACTTTACAAATACTGGATAAATCCACAAGCAAACCCCAAGGTGCATAAGTACACATGCTGATCAACATTCCTGTTAAGTTTCATGACTCTAGGTCAAATACTTTTTAGTTACGTGTATATAAACACAAAAGAGAACGGAAGGACGGACAGACAGACAAGGGTAAATCTAAATGCCTCCCCTAAAGTGGGGGCACAAAAGTAAACATGTACATGTATGATATCCTGGGTATTTTTTATGCCAATTTAAACTTTTAATTTATCTTTACCACCAGATTTTGGGTGTCAATCGCAAAATATTAAATTATCTTTCTGATTAAATAAGAACAAATGTACATTTAATCAATTATGATATCTTAAATAACATCAAAATTGATATAGAAAGTAAATTGTGTGTCCTGTCCATTCAAAACAAGAAGAGTTTTCATCTACACTGCGTTTTTAAGAGTTGGAACACAAACTGTATTTAATGTGCATCTCGCCTCACCTCAGAATGCTTAACGAACAACAGCGCAAACATAAAGATAGGAACACTTCTCCTATTGGTTGGACAAGAATGTGTTTCAGAGTCTGCAAACTTTACTTTTAAAAATACAATTTAGACTTGATGGTAACTGGGTTTTTTTCCATTTGTCTGGAAATGGTTTGGCAAATTTTATAATCAACATGGATGCCCAATCTGTGATAAAATGTTGAAATATTTTTATTTGCAGTTGACAGGGTCTGGTCAATCCGAGACATATGGGTCCGATTCCCCCCCCCCCCCACACACCAAATGTTTTGAGGAAACGTCTCAAGCTTAGGGATTTAACATTTGTTACTTTGGAAACTTTGTTATACATTAATATATACGCTTTAAGCAATTTCTGTAGCACAAAATGCAGTGTTTAAAACTACACTTGCTATTTTCAAAACAAATACATCGCGAAAATATGTAACATTTACAATATCATTCACTCTCAAATACTTTAAGCATTTACAATCAAATAGATAAATACAAGTGGAAAAATTAACCTCTCTTCCTATTTTTCCCCATTGTCAAAGCTTTTATAAAGAAGTAAAATTAGAAATAGTTAATTTGATGACATGTTGAGAAATAAGACCTTGACCTCCATCACCAATTTTTAAGTATTTTATTCGTATTTTCAAATGAAGAAATTGAAAAATCATATAATTAAAAACTCATACAAAAATAATCAATACATATAAAAAAACAACATAAAATGCATAAAAAGCTTAGGAGAAATAGTTTTCATATTATTTTTAATGAATACGGATCTAATTCTTAAAATTTGAAGATAGCTTTATGCCAAAAGAAAAACAAAAACACGGAAAGAAAAATGTGAAATTTGTGAAATGCCACACAACAATTTATATATGCAACGTGCACAAATCTTTCTAATTTAGGCTATCTATTGACCTAAACATATTTTGAAGCGAACGAAATCATTACATCTAGAACAACTGATCGTGAAAACGCAAAACAAACTGCTCAAAAAACGAAAATGTACTGTTTGCAGTGGCTCATTCCTGTACTTCTCATTCCAAAGCCAGTGAATCCAGCACTTCTGTATAATCATGCAATGTTTATCATACTGTATCTAACAGGATTTTTCCTGGAAAGGAAACCATGTTCCATATGTAGCATCTTGTTTATAACTGCGTTGACATTACTGTGTTACAACTGCTTGGGGAATTGTTTTCTTTGGTATTGTGAAGAGGCTACATGTAGAGAGAAATGTGGAGACTGAGAATAGAAGAGAAAAACTAGAGAGTTTTTTTTATTTGAAATAAATGAAATGACTGTTTTAAAACCATGAATTAAAAGGACACCATTGTTTCGCTTAGTTGACAGTGCTAAACTGTACTCAGCTGTTCGGAAAAAAATAGAGTTCAGAACTTAAACGTGTAACATACAGTACAAAATGTGACGGAGAAATATACAACGAATATTAAAATAACTTATATTGTGTATTACATACAGTTTCAAGTTATGAAATTCAGACAGAATATACCTGGTACCTGTAGGAGGAGACATGTATAGAATATAGAAATACCAGTTTCAAATAGTTAAAAAAAAAAATTCAAATATAAATGTTTGTTAATGAATGATAGGGGCATAATTGAAGTTAAAAACAAGCAATGTTATTCAAATAAGAATCTATAGGATTGTTTTCAAATAAAGTATAGATATGCTTCGTTATAAATATAATGATATGGCATCTATATTGAGTATCTTCAAAATTGTATGTAATTAATATTTTAAATATTAACTGATAAATTAACATACCAGTTTATTGTAATTAAGTGTTCTACCCTAAAAAGTACCCTTCAGGGACTCTTCAGCAAGTAGTAGTCAATACATGATTTATTTTGACAGTCCATCACTCATTAAAGGCCATAAGTTGATATAATCACCATTATACATGTATATTCACACACTGCACATAACTCCCACTATTTTAGTGCCAGAATGATATGATAGCATAGACCGGGCACTTCAGGGAAGATGGAATAGAAAAACTTATTTATCCCGCTATCCACTGCACTGCACTCTGTAGATTGTGGGCCATATTACAATAACCAGTGCATAATTATCAGTAGTTAGATCAATGGGAAAAATAAATGTGAATAGATCATCCATTTGTAAATGCATAGTTCTGATATAAAATATGCAATTAATCAGTTATTCCCATCTTAATAGCCAGATTACTTCATTCTTATAATTGTCTCAATAAATGTGGCTGTACCACTTTCAAAATAGTATGTTTGAACAGAGGTATGATCGAGCAATGGTATGCTTTATGAAACTGTAAAAACTTATTTGTTTTTCATTAGAACCATGTTGTCATTTTGAAATTGATAGTTTCCTTTATTGAAATGTCACTTCATGCACAAGTTCCTAGAATTATTTGGTTATTCTTCTGTTAATTTGTTTTCTTTTGCTAGTCAATTGAGTATGATTATGTGCTATGTAATACAGAAAACAAATTTTGAAGTTTTAAATGTATAATGCATTTTGCAGTTATCATCAATCTTTTTAGCTTTAGTTGAAATATAATCCAGATCTGTTCTACACATAAAATGGGGATAACTTAAGCTACACTTATTTAGACTTATAAAGAGGAAACCCTGAGATTATTAAGTTGTTTTGAAATATATAATTAGTATATTATATATAATTTTGTATATGGAATTTTACTGTTTTAGATATTATTAATAATAATGTTCTTTTGCATGATGTAAAATACATACCGGTATTATAACAAAATATAAATGCCTAATTAATATGAAATATACAAAATTATATTTGTTCTTTAATTAACCTTTACCCTGCTGGAACTAAATGTGAGTTGTTTTTTTTGCCACCAGTAATGAACCAGGCTGTATGTTGTTTGCTGATAAACATTAAAGATCCTGTAACACATTTTTTATGGTTTTATATCATAAATATAATGCTCAAATGAAGATTCATCAATATTGTAAGTTCGAAAAAGCCTTATTTTTAAAGATGACATTTCATGTTAATAAAGGGAGGTAATTAGAAATTTATTTTCTATAAAGTCAAGTCAAATTTTTCAATAAGAAATGAATGCATATATTTAAATGATTACATTATAATGTGCAATAAATTAAAAGATTGGGAGGGGAGAACAACACATCAAAACACTAGGGCGGTTTAAATATTTATTATAACTACCGGTTTCGGGTACTATATACCCTTCTTCAGGTTATCGTATATAATGTGGACAAATATTTGCAGTACATATTTTACATATTTTCCGATGTTTGAAAATTGTTTTAAAAGCATAATTTTATACATATATAGAATTTCATTTAAGTGTGGTAACAACCTTAAGAACAACATACTGGATCTTTAATTTTCCATTGTGATACATCCAAAAGTTGTAACAGAGTTTGACGGTTTCAAAAATGAAAGTTAGACAAGTCTGTTTAAGCAGGTTGAGGGTTAATCCGAATTTATTTGTTAATGTAAATTCCATTTTATTGAAACAAAAATTATTATTTGTAATAATTAATTTAATCAATCGTTCGATTATTATTGTCTGTTAATATAACACATACATGTATTGTTAAGGTTTTGTAAGTTTAAGTCATTAAAAAGTGCACTAATTTTGTAAATAGTTGTAATACAGATATCATGTGTTTCTTTGTTTATAATCTGTGATAATTCTTATGTATAATATCGTGACTTTGTTTCATTTTGGTCTATTTGAACTCTTATCATAAATTTTGAATAAATAAATATGTCAAGTGTTGAAAAAAAAAAAAGATCTCTGTTATTTATAGATATTAAAAAAAAGTGACTTGTCTACATGTATTTTGTTGTAGAATTTTCAACACTAAGAACAAGTGTTTTGCGTTACTACACCTTTTTGTTTGGTGTTATAACACCTTTTTATTTGTGTTTTTTAGGGTTTCGTACAATTTGCTATTTCAAAAATGAGAAAAAAAATAACTAAGTTATAAAAATAAAAAGCAAAATAGCTGATTATGAAATTCAACATTTTAAAAAAAACATATGGCAGATAATGTTACAAATAGTTTGTAAAGCTTGACTGCATCAGGTTAAGATCTAATGAACCTAATAGAGGAAACCAGCTTGAGTGAATCAAGTTCTTAACACAGAGTTAATCAGCTTGACTACATAAAATTAAAATCTGATTAACTAATAGAGTTATCAAGCTTTATCAAATTAACTTCTGACAGACTATACATAATACACCAGCTTGACTGCATCAAATTAAAATCTGATTTGCAAATAGATCAGCTTCACTCTATCAAGTTAACTTCTGACAGACTTTACAGAGTAAATTAACTTTACTGTTCTAATTAAAAAACCTTTGATGTACCTCATAGAGTAAACCAGCTTGACTGCATCTAGTTAACATCTGATGAACCTGAAAGAGAAATCATGTTTGATTGCATCAAGTTAACATATCATGAATCTTATAGATTAAAGCAGTTTGACTGCATGAAGTAAGCAGTAAACCAGATTGACTGCATCAAGTTAAATATTATGAATCTTATAGATTTAAGCATCTTGACTGCATCAAGTTCAGTTCTGATAAACCTTATAAATAAAAGCAGATTGTATGCATAAAGTTATAATCTGATGAACCTTATCAAGTACCTTAAAGATTAAAGCAACTTCACTGCATCAGTTTAACTTGTTATGAATTTTGCAGAGAAAAACAGCTTTACAACATCATATTATTGTCGGGAGAACTTTATAAAGATTAAGCCAGAGTGACTGCAATAACGTAAATTTCTGATAATCCCAAAAGAATTAACAAGCTTGACTGCATTAATAATGAACCTTAAAGAACTCTTAACATCTTAAGAGACTGAAAGAGTAATTTAGCTTGATAGTATCAAGTTAATATCCTATGAATTTTATAGATTAAATCAGACTTTACTGCATCAAGTTCACTTACAATTAACCTTATAGAGTAAATTAGCTTTACTGCATAAGCCATTGAAATAAAATCTTAAACCCTGAAAGAGTGATAGAGCTTGATATTATCAAGTTACCATCTGATGAATCTACATTTACTTGACTGCATCAAGTTCACTTTTAATCAGCCTAACAGAGTAAACCAGCTTTACTATATCAAGTTAACCTCTGAAGGAACTTGACTGCCTTAATTATACATCTTATGAACCTCACAGTGTAGCATCAAGTTAACATCTGATCACCTTGCAGAGTAAACCAGCTTGACTGCCTTAATTTTACATCTAATCAACATAATAGATTAAAGCAGCTTGCCTACATTAAGTGAACATTTGAAGAACCTTGTATATAGAAGCAAACTGACTGCATCAAGTTCACTCCTGATGACTACAGATTAAATAAGCTTTACTGCACCAAGTTAAATTCTGAAAGTCTGAAAGAATAATAATCAGACTTGACACCATAAAGTATACATCTTATGAACATTAACCCTTTGGCTGCCAGAGGGTTATTTATTTATTATCCCCCGCCGAAAAATTTCGGCGGAGGATATAGAAATAGGCTCCGTCCGTCCGTCCGTCCGTCCTTCCCTCCGACATTTTTGTCCGGAGCATATCTCTAAAAGTATTTGAGTTATCAACTTTAAACTTCATAGGTGGATAGACCTCATTGAGGAGG